CACACTCAGAAATTGGAGAGGACCTCAGAACTCATCTGGTCTAACTGCCTCATTGTGAAAATGGGAATCTAAAATCTTCTGAGAGACTCATCCAAGTGGATCCAAGACTTAACAAGTGGATGACCATGGGACAAATCCAGCAGTCTGGACTCTGGTAATCTTTCTACCATGTGAAGAAAATAGATACCTTCCCCACATGACTATTTACAAATAGATTAGGACATAAAATTCCTACCCAGGCACTTTCACAAGCAGGACTATGAACAATTCTGCTTTCACCAAACTGTAGCTCAACACTGGCCCAGACTAAATCCAACTTGCAGCCAGCTTCAGACCCAGCCTGAGGCCCCACCTGCTCCACACAGAGCTCAGACCAGACTGAGGAACTCAGATGTGAGCCCAGAATCCATGAGATAAACCTTGCACTTGAGGGCTATTTCCCAATAATACGACTGCTATGGATGTGGGAATGTAAATGATTATGGACCTGCAGAGATTTTATAGACCTGGAATACAGGGGCTGGCAGTCACTGACTGAGTTCCACACCTAGCAACCCATGAAGGCTGGAGCTGACCAGGTAGCCCTAGCTCTAGACTATACTAGGGAGGTTCAGGAAATGCTTCAAACATCCGATGTTTAAGAGGTTCTTTGGACAGTCTGCAGAAAATAGTTTATCTGTCTGTCTGTCCATCTGTCTGTCTCTCTAGAAATTTAACCACCTACCCATGCTTTCTCCCTTTCTCACTATTTCCCAGATAGGAGAGAAGTGCAAGGCTCTAGAGAAGATCTCAATAAGGGTAGGCGGAGTTTGCAAGTTACTCCAGAAGTACACTTTAAGATGTAACAAATATGAGGAGAACATACGTACACTCAAGGGGTCAACAGCCACCACTTCATGACATGTCATCACCACACAGGATAGGAAACAACAGAGACATTAATGCCACTGGTAAATAACTCTGAACACAGTACAGACTTAACTTGATTCTCTTAACATTTGGGGAGCTGAACCAAAGTCACATATGGAAGAGGACTGTTTGCATACTGGTGTGATCTTCAAAACTCAACAGAGATGGATCAATAAACTGTGTGAGCTCAAGTCAAGTGTCCAGGTGGAATCTTCCTGATGTTGGGCCACAGACCCCTGGGTCCTTCATGTACCAGGTCTCTGAAGAAAACTAAGTCACACAGAAGTAGATCTTAAGAGGTATCCAACACACTATTCTACTAAAACCTATGTACAACAACAACAAAAGGTCTTCCACTGCCATTACCCATTACCCACCTATTCATTGGTAAATCTTTGATCTCAGTTTCATCCTACTCTTCTGAGCTAATGTTCCTTTTGCTGTCTTCTCTCCATCATCTTCTCTGCACTACAGAGCTTCACCAGGCATTCCTCGTTCTCCTTCTGCCTGATATACCCTTCTACCATAAACCTGTTCATCCTCTGTTGAGCATGGAGCTCGTTCATATTCCACACCCCCCTTAAGAGCCTCCTCAAGAGGTCTTGATCATCCTGTGACCATCTTCTCCACAACCCCCCCCAAGAACTTCTTCCCTATCTATCTTATGGCTCTGAGGCTCCATGAACATCAGCTTGTATTAACATCATATTACCATCAGCAATTTATTGACTAGGAACTGCACTCCCGCTCACAATCATACAGGCAGAGCCAAGTCCACAAGACCCCAGGGACCAAAGACTTTCACACTCTCTTCACAGTTATAATTCAGCTTCACTGGGGAGGGGGCGGGGGCGGGTCTTAACAAAAAGCATTCCCAAATGTTGCTAATGTTCCCTCTCAGCCTGGAAATGTTTTTACTCCAAATGCATCAGCTACAAAACGCTGGAGATTTCCTTAAAGAAGGAACAGGAAGGCCAGATGTGCTTCGAGCCAAAAGGTAGGAGCTTACATCAAGTGTTGTGCAATCCTCCCCAGCTCCTGGGTGGGCTCAGAAACACAAAAATCAGAAAACTAGGTAGGAAAGAGAAGATACTATACAACGGAGGATTGTTGTTACATACAGTCGCATGTGGCATTTCACGGCTCAAACCAAGCACTGAATAGTATCATGAGGCTAGAGATCCTTAGATTCCCTCAGTGCTACCCTGGCCCCAAGCATCTCTCAATGTCCAGTTCACACTGGCCAACAGGCAACACTAACTTAATGAGTGAAATTTCAATGACTTCATCCTCTCTTTACTGCCCAAGGAGGCAATTAAAATTAAAAAAAAATAATGGCTATACATGAACAGGAAGTTTCCCCAGGCCACACAAGAATAGCAAAATCCTGAGTTTGTAGTCCATGATTAAGGGACAATGCCAGAAACTGAAAGTCAGGGACGAACAATGGGTGGGTGGGTGAAGAGTCTGGGATTCTTTTCCTTACCATCTTCTCATGGTTTTAAGAATGCCTACCATTTCTTAAGCCAGGAATGGTGTCACACATCTTTAATCCCAGTACTCTGGAGGCAAAAACAGGTCTACGGAGCAAGTACCAGGATAGCCAGAACTACACAGAGAAACCCTGTATAGGAATGAAAAAGAATTCTTCATTATGATTTCTTAAGATAGTAATATCTAAGTATCACAAGGATGTGTTTGGATTTCACACATTCTTTTACAGCAGGAACCCACAATAAGTTAGAAGGCTTCAAGAAAGCTGAAAAATCATTAGCTTTGACAATAGACCTATAAATAGAAGAACAGGAGATCATGAATATGCTAATGGTTTTCCCTGCTATGGCCCTGCGGTATTGAGGTTTTAGCCCTAACATGTACATCAATTGGTGCCAAATCTAACCATCTTGCAATCTTCTGCAGGAATCCCTGCTTCACATGAAACAAACGGGATGAATCACAGATGTTAAGGGAGGGTCTGGCATTTCTGCATAAGTAAAGGGTTTCCCTGAAGACGTTTCATGATTTAGGATTTGGATAAAAGCTCTCTCTAAACTGGAGCAATTACCTGGTACTTCAAAGGTTATGAGGACAATGGAGCTTTAAACATTGTCTAAATTAACACATTACATAGAGATAAATCAGCCAGCAGACATGCATGGATCCATGCAGCATCTGTATTTCTACTGGGATGCAGGCTCCATGAGAACAGGGAAGCATCTACTGAACCCCAAAACAATGAATGACAGGCACGTGGTTGGTACCAGTGGGTATCCATTAGATGAGCTCATTGATTAATTAATTAACAAAACTTCATTAATGATAGAAAGTACCATCTCAAGAGTTTCTTAGCTGTTCTGGTAACCAGGTAACCCCTAAAGATATGGACTCCTGGCAAGTGCAGAGCAGAAGCAGAAGACAGATTCATGTGTTCCTGCTCTAGCAATCCTGCCAGAGACCACAACTGTGAAAAATCAAGTCCCTTCCTCATTTGTTCACCCAGCACTTAAACCAGCCTTGGGTCAAAGTGAACAGAAATGGCCAGGACGTCACGGACAGAAACAGCATCTCTAACCCACCCATGCCCAGTGCTCCACGGGCTTGGATTACACATGTCCACCTGAGCTGAGGGCTGGAGGCAGGCAGCAGGAGGCACAAGGTTCAATCATCCCACCGAGGCTGGGAAGCCATCTGTAGTAGTTAATATCACAAACTTGACAGGCTCTAGAGTCACCCAGGAGACAAACCTCCGGGAGTGTCAGTGGGGAGTTCCTAAAATGGGTTAACTGAGTTGACAAGACCCACTCCAACTATGGATAGTACCATTCCGTGGCCTGGGGCCCAGGACAGGATGGAAAACTGAGAGCCAGCTGAACCAGCATTTATCTCTGTCTGCTTCCTGACTGGGTGCCATGGGACAAGTGGCCTCAAGCTCCTGGCTCCATCCGATAAATCACGAAGTAAAATTCCATAGACACGTCTGTTCTCCTTAAGTCTGGCCCATCAGACCAAATGCAACAGGCCTCATTTCACACCATAAGAACCCCTGCTTGGCCTCATATCAAACAGCCATACTGCATGTCTACCAGATGAAATCCAGGTCAGGATGAGTTTGATGGGAGAGAAAACTGCACTCCAGGTGTTGAACCCTATCTCAGATAAAATAGAGCTGCCTTTGCTTGATGTTAAGCTTACCTTAAGCTCTGGCTCTGCATCACCCAGATAACTAGAAAGACATTCTGTTTCATCACAGAGTCAGCAATCCGATCCTGCAGACCAAGCAGGGTGCTATGGAGAAGTCTGACAACCTCACTGTGGCACTAGTTACAGAGGCCAGGATCCTAGTCAGTGTTGGCATTGATCTTGGCAATATTGCTGCTACTGGAAACAAGGGCATGGTTTCACTGGAGAATTGATAGCATCTGTCCCTGATGATAGTGTAGGCAAGCTTGGCAAAGCTCCACACCCAGGGAAGGCCATTAGCACCTGGAATGCACAGGTAATTCAGGCTGCATCCTACCACACATTGCTCCAACCTGCTCTCCCCTTGCCAATGACAGGGGTGCTACTGAAACAGATCAACTACCCTCCTGTTCTGACCAAGGCAGCTCTGCATCCTGCTGGCTTATTGTGATGGCCCCTCTCCTCTCTGACCTCTGGGTCAGTGGACCTCTGTATTAGTTTCTTGTTGGTATGATAAACTATCTGGTAAAAGCATAAGGCAGGAAGGGCTCGTGTTGGCTCACCATTTGAAGGTATACTCCATCATGGCAGGAAAAAACATGGTAGTCTGGTTTCCAGAACACAAGGTCGCTGGTCACATTACATCCACAGTCAGGAAGCAGTAATGAATTCTGGCACTCACCTGGCTTCCTCTTTCTTCCCCATTTTGTGCAGTCCAGTCCACCAGCCCATGGAACAGTGCTGCCAACATTCAGGGTGGGCCATTGCTCCACAATTAAAACCCTTGCTAAGTGACCTCACAGAATACCCAGAGGTGTGTCTCCCAGGTAACTGAATCTGGTGGAGCTGACGACAAAGACCAACCATCACATTCTCTTCTCTCTTTCATTACATAAAGCCTCATCCTCATGACAACGTGAAGGTGTCATATTTGAAATGGAATGGCTCTAGAGTGAAAACCACCTTCTTCAGTTCCCTCTTTCTCTGAAGGTCCAAGGAAAGGATCATAATCTAAGGTTCTGTGTTTTGACTCCCTGGGATCTGTGACCTGAAATGGCCCAGACCTTCACAGGAGCTCGGCTCCACAGAGAGTACTCTTTATAGCCAGGCAGGAAGCTATTGACCTCACCACCTTCCTGACCCATGAGCATGCCCAACCAACAGGACAGAAGCCAACTCCTACACTGCAACAAAAACCAAAGACCCAAACACCATGCAGTAAGTTGTAATGGAAAGAAACCCAGAAAGGCCACTGGTTCTGTACTGGAGTGGTGTACATAGGAAATTAGGGAGCCAAGACATAAAAAAGGAGCAGCAAGATGTGGGCAGGGTACAGCCCTGTAGCCCTAAGGTAGAGAACAGCATAATACATGGCCAGTCTCAGAGGGACTCTTAAAAAGGCAAGAACAGATATGGGCTATATCTATAGGTAGAGCCACCAAGAATGGAGCCATGACAAACATCTCTCTGATGAAACTGATGTACACTGGCTGAAGGCTAGAAGGTTCTCCCTTCATCCCAGGGTATCCTTTTGTCAAGCCTCTTGCTTGAAGCACTCATCAATGCAAATACCTTTGCTTAGCTCTTTGGAGATTGCAGGGATCTCAAGTAGCCATATGCTCTGGGAATCCCCTGCCCTTCCAGACACAAGTCCCCTGGGAGAAGTAAATACACTTTGGCTCTTAGAAGACCACCCATGTTTCCATTTGATGCTAAGTAAGTTACCCAGTCTATCCTCAGGTCTACCACTCCAGGACGACACTTTCATAGGATAGTCTCTAAACCATAGGTGTGCCCCATCTGCCGAGGTCCACAGGGCCCAACATCTCCAATAGTTACAGTGCCCTCTTCCAAGACAGGTAAAATGCATGACACACACGCGTGGAGACCTAAGTTTGATCCTTATCACTTATGTAAAAATCCAGGTATGATGGTGCATACTTATAATCCCATCTCTAGGGTTTCCTGGCTAGGCAGCCTAGCTAATCATCGAGTTCCAGGTCCCAATAGCATTTATTGTTTAAAAAAATGGGTACAGCATCAGAGAAAGATATCTGACTTCCATACACATAAGCACATACATACATATGTACGTGCATACATATTACATGCATGCAGCCAAACAAACGCGTGTACACAACATAGACAAAAATAAAATATAGTCATGTAACCTGAGTAAAGTACTCAACTAACTAATCATTTCTGCAAATGACTCTGTTACAAATGACTAAATCCAAAGCCACAGGGAACAACAGAAAGACAGTCTCATTCACACTTGGATCCCAGCTCTGGCAATGACAGCATGTGACCTCAGATAAATAGCTCACTCTCCTTATCTATCTGTGTGACATCGTGTGTTTATTATTTTTAGCCTGGTATCACAATGTGCTCTCACATAATCTATCTTACTCAATGTAGCATCCCACAAGCTTGCTAGGTGTCTGCCTTCCTTATTTTGCTGGATCAAAGAGGTCTGTCTCAATATCCAAGGCACACAGCTAGGATGCGATGGAGTCTAGCTGGTCTCCTTGCTCCTAACCACCTTGCAGTGCACTCTGGGAAAGACATCCTTTCATCAAGATTGCCCAGATATTGAGCAACTCCAGGGGTCTGCTTCCTCTTGTTTCTTAGGCACCCTGCTTTATGACGCCTGATTTTCTGCAATCTGGATTCATTCCTCTGGGTAACTGCCTTTCAGGCCCAGGTACATGCAATGAAGCCCTTAAAATAGAGCATTCCATTAATCCCCAACTCTACCAGACCAAATGCCTCCATAACAGGTCCCCAAAGATTCTAAAATAAAGAGGGGAAAGGCTGTGGTGGCTGTGGGGTATGGTTAAAATTAGACAGTGAAGCCAAAGGTTTGATCTAGAAGCAATACTCTCCAGAAAAAGGATAGAAGAGACCATGTCAACCCTGACAATGGTGACATCAAAACACCCTCTCATGGGCCATGTCAACCCTGACAATGGTGACATTAGAACACACCCTCTCATGTCCCTAGACAGGGTGACAGGACAGCACAGCTGCAGTTCCCTGAGCAGTGTGCCATGTGGCTCAGCAGCCTGCTGGGCTTGCTGCCCACCAGGCCTCGTGGTCAGTGCTGACTCACAGGAGGTGGGCTGAGGGGAGAGTCTGGCCCGACTCTCAGCACTTCTGACTCACCGTCTCCCCCTGGACCACTGTACAATATCCCTCCTCCCAGAAACAAAATCCATTTATTTTTTTTAGCTGACAGAAGAGCTTTTTCTTGTCCTTGGGATTGTAAACTGATCATCTAATGTTCCATAACATTTTTTAGCAAGTGTACCTTGTTAGAAGGTTTTTTAAAAAAAGGTCAATTTGGGTGCCTGAGCACTGTCATAACATGTGCGACCTTGGTCTCTCCTCAGGTTATCCGCCCGGAAAGAGCTAAAGGCAAAGGTGTTTCAGAAACCACAGAACAAAGTAAGCACAGGTTTGGCAACCAGATCTGCTCAAATGAGCATCTCATAATATAGAACCATATGCTGGGTGGTGTTGGGTGGTGGTCAGCGATGATCAGTGGTGGTCCATACTCCACACGTATTTCTCTAATCCTTACCATAGCTCCTCACATCAGGGTTATTTCCTATGTTAATGTTGGAGAAACTGAGGGTCCAAGAGGTTAAGCAACTTGCTTAAAGTTCAGTGTGGAAGCTGAGAGCCATGCTCAGCTTCATCCATCCCCAAAGTATATATATTTGAGGAGTAATCACCCAGCTACAGTACTTTCAGTTCCAATAGTAAGCAATCTGAGAGCGGTTCACCTTCCAACAACTCAGTGACTACTGTAGGTTCCTGAATATGCCAGTGTTTGGTTGAGCAGAGTTCCCTGTCTCCATGTCTCTGGCCAAGCCTCCATCTCCACCTTACCTAACCCCCCAGAACCAGGAATAAAACCCCCTGGCTAGATCTCCAAGGGAAGGTGAGGCATAGAGAGACATTTCTATGGGCCTTGCTCATCTGACCAGGTCATGCGGCCTCTTGGGAATGACCAACCTCTACCAGTCTGTGCAAGACACTAGTTCCAAGACCCCTAAGGAAAACTCATCTGGGCACAGAGCAAACCAGCCCACAAGGCTTATCTGTAGACATAATGACGATGCTGATGATGATGGAAGCCAGATGGATGCTCATTGGATGCAGAGGGTCCACATGGTATGCTGTGCTGGTTCCTTCCTGTGCCCTGCACCCTGGAGGCTGCTCTGAGGCTGTATAAATGGATGCCTTCATCCTTCAGCTTCCCATTTATTTGCTTTGGCCAATGGACGGTACTAGCACTAGACATGTAATCAGGATGTAACTGTCAGCAGGGAACTTTACCAACATACCCACCCTCCCCAGCCAGTTCCTCCCAAGCCTCACAGACACAGGCCAGACACAGCTGCAGCCATTGTTTAGTGGCTCTCCCTGGCTCTCGCTGTGGTTCCCATGGCACTGTTTTTACTCACAGCTCTGGACTTCTCAGGCTTTAAGCAGACTCCCTTAGTTATGCCCACCTGCACTGTTGTCACTGTCCCTTACCAACTCACTGAACTCCTTCAGGATTGAATATTATATGTGGGTGACGTTGTGGGAATTCTGTCGGATAAGCCAATAGTATCGGGGTGACTAAGCCCTGTGGGCATGGTCTTCTCTGGGCAGTGAACATGCTGGGTAAGAACTGAGGACGAGAATCTAGCATTCTCTTTTGGGGATGGCGAGGGAACCAGCAGAGCTACAGCTTAGAGTTCCCTTGGGACCTTTGGGAAGGAGGTTATGGCGCGGGAGAGCTGGTTCCCTGGTGGAGACGTGACCCAGATTCCTTCTTCTGCCTTGTAATCATTGCGCATGGATATGATTTAATAAAAGGTAAATCAGTCCCCAAAATAAAGAAATCTGGTTAGTGAAAGCTATTCCTATGGCATGTCTTTGCCTTTTAGCACCAAAGCCCTTTTAGGTTACTCGGTGCCTTTTAACTGTTTATTTAAATTAGCGGATACAGAGTGGGGAGGTGGCTCATTTGGTAAAGTACCTGCCATATAAGCATGAGGGCCTGAATTTGGTCCCCAGCACCCACACAAAAGTCAAGCATGGTAACCCTCACCTACAGTTTCCAGTACTGGGGACGATTACACAGGTGTGCCACTGGGCAGTTGGTACAGTCCAATCAGCAAGCCCCAGGTCCTAGTGAAAGATTCTCTTCAACAAAAAAATAGTTGACAGTTACCATCCAACTGGACAGATGAGAGCTCCTGATCCCCATATACATGTAACATGTTCATGTGTGCCCACATGCACACATACAGCCACATAGCTAGAGAGAGAGAGAGAGAGAGAGAGAGAGAGAGAGAGAGATTAAAGACTAAATAAAAATAGTTACATACAATTTAGAAGTAGCCATACTCCCTCTAGCCACAGCTTCAATCCCCTGGCAACAAATCCCTTAAGGACTGAGTAAGGAGAGAAGCATTCCTAAATCCCATGGACATGCACTCACATTCCATGGACATGCACTCACATTCAGTACCCTCACCAGGTCAACTCGAGACCCAAAGCCATGTGCCATAGAGAGCATGTTTTGGACATATGTGCAAACTTTTCATCGAGAGTCATCCTCTTCTCTATCAGCAACAGAACTTACTTGCCCTTAGTTTATACAGACTCATCCTTGACAGGATTAAGGAAGGTGAACAAGGCCTACCTCCCATGCTCATAGAAAACACAGATAACGGACTGCAGTGTGAGGACAGAGCACTGGGGTGATACTAGCATTTCCTGAGGTTCCCAGGAACACTTCATGGAAGTACAAAAATGCATGTTCCAAGTTACAAGTAATAAGCTACCTATAAGAACAAAATGGGTAGCTTATGACAAAAGAAAACATGGTTGGCTCCCTTCTGGGTTCATATATACACTCTAGAAAGAAAAAGAGAGAGCTGAAAAGAAAAAGAGAGTCACATATTTTGAAATTGTTTATGTAATTGTTGAGTACATGTAGTCCGTGGATTAGTATATATTCATGATAGTATACATGCAGAAAGAGCTTCATAAAATGGAGATAGAAGGATGGATGGATGGATGGATGGAAGGGAGGATGGAAGGAAGGATGGAAGGATGGATGGATGGATGGATGGATTATTTATAGAAGAAAGGTGGAAGGGAAAGAAGGAATTTACAGATAAATAACAGTTAGATTTAAAGCACGTAAATATTCTTGATGCTTCTTTATAGCTCAGTGAGTTCTGCCCACGCCATGGGAAAAAAAGGAGAGGAAGTAATGGAGGAAGGAAGGAAGGAAGGAAGGAAGGAAGGAAGGAAAAGAAAGAAATTGGAAAATGTCCAACTAAATGGAAGCCAAGCTTTAAAGTCCCAGGGCCTGAGAGCACGCTGTGCTGAGCCTGCACAAGATGGTGTGAGAGAGAACCAACGTGCCCATCCTTGCCTCCTCTTGGCTTCACTCCCCTGGACAACATGTAGGTCACATGTGGAAATCCTGTACGGGAACAGCTCCCTGGGGAGCATCACAGACTGTAAATTCCAAAGAATGTTACGACCAATAGAAAGAAAGCTCTTGCAATTTTGTCAGCTGCAAATGACTCCAAGGAAAGTCAGGGTCAGTTTTTAGACCTGGCAGTACCTTCGTGGCAGAAGGGCAGATGCCGAAAGGTCAGTTTTCCTTCGCCACTTTCCCCAAGGAAAGAACTCTGGGACACTCCACTTGTGTTTTCCCTACCTGTGGTTTTCTGGTTAAGCCAAGTCAATAAACTTGAAATGTAGCTTTGGTTCAGATGATTCGCAGCGAGGGAAGAGCAATTTTGCCTTCAAAGAGACCGAGCCCGGAGCCAGGAAATGAGACTTATGTTTCCGGGCTGCACTGGGAGAACACTGAGCTGTAGACTTCAAAGAGCCAAGCTCCCACCAAGTCCAGGGGTGTCTGGAGACGGTCCAGGCTTTGGCAGTGGAAGGGCACCTGCTGTCTGAGAGGAGATGCTGAAGAGCCATGTCTGCTGGGAGAGTCCAGGGTATCAGGACACAGATTGCTGATCGATTGTGTGGACCAATAGTAATTAAGGATGTAAAGAGAAAGGACAGCCACTCACAAAACCACGTGGCCTTGGTTCTTTCTCCGCTAGATCACCAAGACCCTCAGTGGCTTCAGTCAAGCCATTTGTCCTCCCTGGGCTTCCATTTTCTCCCCAGTAAGAATGGGCATGGTCATAGCCCTCCTTATCTCACATCCCTGATAGACAAGAACATGTAAGACCAGCTCAAGATTCCAGCATCCTATAGAGTGGTCTGCAGTCTCGAACACCTCCATCACCACAGCATTCATTACGTCTTGGCTGTTACAACAAGCCAGCCTCCTTTCTTTCTGCTCAAATCGGTTAATTTGTACTATTAATTTAATTAATTAATAGCAACATTCTCATCTCTGCCTGGGGTCCCCCCACAGAGTCAACTGTTTGAGTCTTCACATTACCCAGCGTCCCGGTGTTCCAGGCTTGGAGGGCAATGTACAGCTTTGACACAACCCCAACCTCCTGTTGTTACCAAGATACAGAAACATTTAACGCTGACCCAATCCAGTGAATCTGCCTGTACCCTCCTAAGTACAACGCTAGGCAGAAAAAAAACATTCACGGGTCTTGATGCACGGGGGAGCCCATGTCCCCTCCTACCCAGGGAAAAACTGAAAGATGCCAAAAGGTTTATTTTTCTAGGATTAGCACAATGACAGGGAATCAGCCATATATATTGTCAGACCTGACGAGCCAAATATTTTTCTGTAATTTCTGCAATAATATGAGAAAAGTTGAAAAGGGAGGGGGGAAAAAGTGTTCAATTTTAAGCCTGTCTCTGCAGACTCCTGCTCCAAAAATAACAGCCCATCTCATGAATTACCAACAACGCTTTTTGCAAGACAGTTGCTTGATACAAGAAATGGAACATATTAATGGGAGCTTCCTGACAAAGCAGGGGGGGGACACTTGGGGAGGACAGATTGACCTAAGACAGACAGCACCTGGGAGGGTGTGAGCCTTTAGCTGCCAAGCCCTGTGATGTGCCCTCCCTACAAAATAGAAAAGGTTACCTAGATGTCGCCATGACCCACTCTGAGTATTGAGACCATAAGGGTGAGGAATCTGGCTCTTGCCACACATAGTCTAGGGTACTTTCAGAAGCCTAGCTAACTTGTGAACTTCACACCTGGCAAAGTGATAACGGAAGAGCAAATACAACATCAGAATCCAGAGGGGGGAGCAACATAAAAGAAAAGCAGGAAGGAAGGAGGAGGGGAAGGGAGGAAAGGAAGAAGAGAGGTAGGGAGAGAAGGAAGGAGGGAAGGTGTGTGTGTGTGTGTGTGTGTGTGTGTGTGTGTGTGTTCAATGGAGAAACACTGAGAACAGCATCAGATAGGGTCTACCTACCTTAAGTATATGTGTGTCAAAGTGTAACATCAACAGATTCATCACTCTAGAAGTTTGGGTGACTAGAGTAGACAAAGGGCATTGTTAGAAGCAGAAAAAAATTAACCCTGGACCAGGACTCCACAGAGAAGAATTGCCTCAACTCCCACACTCACCACCTCTGTGGCCTAGAATCAGTGACCTCCCTACCCTGAGCCAGCATGCCTGCAGCCTCATGAGAAAATCATAGAAGTGAAGGGGGTGAGCATTCGAGAAAGGCAGTGGAGATGCAAGATGGTACCTACGAGTCATCTCTTAACCCTTCACATCCTGCATCCGGGAAGGTCTCAAGAGGAATGGGAAGAGAGCTCCCAGGAACAGCATGCTCATGCTGCGTGGGAACCATCCTAGGGTAATCACTGCCTGTATCTGGTCCACAAGAGACTTCAGGCTCATAAGAAGCCTCCAAGCACTCCCAGCCCCTCTCAGACTCCCAAGAGAGATGGTTCCCTCTGCCCCAGTCTGGAGCAGCTCCAGCTTGGATTCAGCAAGGGACAGCATTTGTATAGAATCTCAGAGGACAGAACCAAGGTCACCAGATGTTTTCTGAGCTCAGACATCTTAGCTGAAGAAAGAAGTTTTCACCTGTCCAAGTGACCAGGAAAATAGGCATCCACCTCCCCACCCATCACTGGGGGAACCCATATTCCCATCTTCATCCTTGACTTCATACCATCCTCTCTCCCAGGACCCCATCTTAACACTTCAAAGGCAAAGGGGCTTAAGAGAGAAGAATCAATCCATACTGAGCCTGTCTTCAAGGGTCCCCAGGCTCACGGAGAGTCTGCAGCAGAAACCTCTCCCCATCCCAGACTGCCTTCAGATTGTGAGAGCCACCCAGCACCTAGAGGATCAGTGACAGAGACTTTCCCAGCTGCTAAGGTCAGAGAGAAGTAATGGTCAGGAAGGAGGGCTCTCAGCACAGGGAAGAATTTGAAGACATAGTTTTTGGTTCCTGATACTCATCCCAGATTGTGTGGACTGAAGAGGCTACATAGAAGTTGCAAGCACCCCCCTGGGACAGGGGATAAGACCCTGGTTTGTCCTGCTAAGCACTGGGCTATCAAGGAGACTAAGACGCAGGCTGGCCCCAGAAGAACCCCTGGTCTTTCTGTTCATGACAGCCATCACAGAAAAGGAGAAACCCATCCTCATTCCCATCCCCCAAGGACAGAAGGCAGTTTCCACAAAGGAGCCAGGGATTAGAAGGAAGCATGAGACAAACACCAAATGTTTTACCACTGGAAACAAAGTTGAACGTGGCCCTGGAATTTGCTCTGTCCAGAGAGTTTCCAGGGGGAGGTTTGGAGTGAATGAGTCACCAAGGACACAATGGTGGGTGCTAATGGTCCCACAGCAGGGTGCAGAAGAGAGTTCCACAAACTTGGAAAAGGAGCTTTGGACCACTTTCCCTGCACTCAGCCCGGAGCTGAAGGCATCCTCTCCCTCCTTTCCAAGCCTTCCAGCTGCGGGTAGCTTGGTGGGCCCCTTGCTCCTCCCGGAGGCTTCATGGGGACAGGAGGAAACCCAAAACACTGAGAGAGCCATAAATCTCTGCCTGCCCGCAACATGGGCCTGGCACCTTCCAAGTCTCTCCTCCTCTAAAGGAAAAAAAAAAAAACAATACATAACTAATAACAATCCCGGGATCAGAAGAGTTATTAGGCAAACCGGGGCTGCGTCCAACTCTTTTTTTTTTCTCCTGACAAAATGTGGGCTTTTCAACCCTGCTTCCAGTGGGTGCCTCATGATAACCCTGTGACCCAAGTGCAAGCACCCTTCTCCCTAGAGCAACACGCATCAGACACATGCTGTACTTCCTCGGTCCTTCCCAGCGAACAGAGAGGTTTTATTCTATACCTTGCCCCACGCATATCTGCCACCGACAGGAAAAACCAAAACCTGCATGGGAGGTGGCAGCCTGCTGTCCATTTAACAGAACAAGAAACTGGGACTGTGTCTCAGAAAGGAGAGCAACGGCGGAGTTAGCACTAAACACCAACTCAGAGCAAGGCGGAAGTTAGCACTAAACACCAACTCTTAACAACAGCCACTCTGGGAAGAATTCCCGCGTGACAGATGAAAACCCTGAGGCTCTGAGAGATGTCAATGACTTTAAAACCAGGCTCCGCAGTAAAGAGCATTAGCTGATCTTCTATAGGACCTGCACCGTTAGGTTCCCAACATCGGCGTGGTGGCTCCCAACTGTCTGTGATTCGGTCCTGGGGGACTCACCCTCAGCTGCCTCCTCGGTCACTGCATGCGTGTGGTACACAGACAGGCACGAAGACAAAATGCTCACACAAACATACACAAATAACATTTTAAATCAAAACCTGAGTCCAAAGGCCGCATAGCGATACTTCTCCGCATGTCCCTCCTGTTCTCAGGACGTGCTGACCCTCACAAGAGGGAGTTTTTCAAACCTCAGACTGTGGAAATGGTTCTCGTGTGCCCAAAAGAGAACTAAGTAAGCCCCTGGAGCTGTTGTAATAAAAATAAAGATACTGACAAAAAAAAAAAAACCATAGATTGGGGGAGGGGGGACTGGAGAGAAGGCTCAGCCAGTAAAGGGCTTACAGCAAAAGCATGAAGATTTGAGCTCAGGTCCCTATCACCCACACCCACGTAAAGAACCAGGCCTAGTGGTTGCAGGGAGGTGTGGGGGAGAGGTGGGAAAGAATCTAAGCTTAAGCATGAAATTTATTTGTGTTTTATGTTCATCTTACACAGGCCAAAGGTAATCTTCTGCAATGTTTTAAACACTTTATATATCTAGGAAGGCAGATAGGTGTGTGGGTGTGAGTGTCACATATATGCAAGTGTCCATGGAGGCCAGAAGAGGTCATCGAACCGCCTGGAGCTGAAGTTACAGGTAGTTACAACTCTTCCCACATAGGTGCTGAGAACCAAACTCAAGTACTCCGAGGAAGCAGCAAGAATTCTTCTCCAGGAGCCATCTCTCCAGGGCTCATGCAACAGTTTTAGCGTTTGATGTTTAGACAGCAGCCTATCACATGAAGACAGAGTTGGAGTTTTCCACTCGAAGCATCATGTTGACAATCAGAAACATCCAGGCTATGTATGGATTTTCATATTAGGAATGCTTAGCCTATAGTAACATTGTAATTCTCTTCCCTGTTGAAGTAAAATGATGGACTTCTGAATATCTCCAAGTAGGGATAATCCAAAGCTAGATGCTAAGATCCGACTTCATGGGCTCAAGGATGCAGGAGAGAGACCTTCACTCCAGTGTTCACTCTCCAGTTAGGACAGTGAATTAGGTGAAACACCCTAAGACATGTGCAAGGCAGAGACCCTTATCATTCCAGACTTCTGTGTACACCTCCTGCATCCATCCATAGTGTGAGAGAGACAGAAACGAGACAGGGACAGTCTTCTGAGCTCCAAGAAGACTGATTAGGGGTATCATAATCATCGGGGAGGAGATTATGCACTGAGAGATGATGCACATGGTGTTTAAAAACTCAGTCAGGGGCCTCAGCTCTATCTAGAGGTAGGCCATTTGCCTAGCATGTTAAAAGCCCTGAGTTCCAATCCTAGCATATATGTGTGTGCATACATACATATATATGTGTGCATGTGTGTGTATATATATATACATATACACACATATAGATGTGTATACATATATGCATACATGTATGTGTGTATATATACATATATTTGTGTGTATATGCACATACATATATACATACATGTGTGCATAAATATACAAAGTCAGCATCAGACTTCCTCTTTAACCCTGGGCTTCAGTGAAACAGTAGCAGCACCTACCACAAGGGTCATTGTGAAGATTAGGACATACAAATGCAAACAAACACTAGACATGATTCTGGCCCATTGCTAATACTCAATAACTACTGTCTGTAGACAAGAGGGTGTGGGCTGGCAATACAGC